AAATAACAAACTAAACTATTTTGGCCTAAAGTTATTTTTCTTTTTTGAGGTTCACTAATTTCTAAATTAAGATAATCTATCATAAACTATAGTCTACCTTTCTATAGGGTTATGGCTAACTGGTTTCTTAAAAACTCTTTTTCTTCTCTCAATGTCTCTAAAACTTGATCTGTTGTTCTTTTTGCTTCTAAAACTTTATGCTGCAATTCTGTGTTATTATATTTACTAATAAACGAAGGATGTTCAAGATATCCAAGATAAAACTTTTGCTTCTTCAAAGTACTAATAATTCTTTTGGATATATATGCTAATCTTCTCTTTATGCTAGTTATAGTTGGATGTCTGGGACAATAAATACCTGGTAATTGTGACAGGGTCTACAGGGACAATAATATCTGTTGTTCATATACAATAAACAAATATGATATCAGTTGTATCTACGACTTCTATCCTCAAGGTACTTTACTATTATAATTATACTATTAAAATGTTAAACTAGGCTCTGATATCAAATTCGCAACGCATGCTCGGTTAAATAGTCGGATGACCATTATAACAACTAGACATAGAACCTTGCACATGGAACTCGACATGTTTCAGCATGACGGCCACTCACAGTACAAGTATAAGGCCTTAACGGCTGAACTCAGAGGTACGAAGAACTCAGAGGTACCCTGGTTGATGTCCAGTTATTTGTATGGCAAGCATTCAACTATAACAGAGTGCTCGAACAAAGTATGATCGTCAGTTTAACAGGTTAATAATATAACCACAATACTGTTTCCCTGTTTTGAACTAGAAGTCTAATTAAACAAACACTATAAAGAAGGAAAAGAAAACTTACTTAAGACTTGGAGATTGCTTGATTATGTACACATGAACTTTTATTGATATATGGAATGTTTATAGAGATGCTTGTTTACAAAAAAGTGATTACAAATAAGTGTTTACAAGGATGTTATGAAGGCTACGAATGCTTAAGTGTATGGTGTTTTCAGATATTGAGAGATGTGCGTGGTATTCAGGTGTCTTCTGTATGGGAGGAAAGGCTCCCTTATATACAAAAGCTGATTCCTAAACAACAAAATAATTTTTCAATATTTACAACTTTTTGATAGTGACAACACACTGTTTCTGAAAGCTGTCAGCACTGTTTCTGAAAGCTGCTAAAGGCCACATGAATCTATTTTGTCTTGGTTGCTGCAAAGTTTGCCACCTTATCTTTGGCATGCAAAATTTTTTCTGAAAATGTCATCTTCATTGCTGAGTAATCTTGTATGGATGTGTGAAGGGCATGATTGACATTTTTGCTAAATTTTGTCCTGATGATTAAAGTGAAACTTTTGAGGGTTTTTTGGTTAGTTTTCCATAAAAAAAAAAGGGCAATCGACAAGAAAGAAAGGATAATAATTCCCAAGGGCATTTATGTAAAACCAAAATAAAAATAATCAAATTAAAAACGAATGTGTAAAAATAAAATTGTAAATAATTAAAGAAAAAAATTGGTGTTGCGCATCGCAAAGTCGTGGACTCCAGAGGAAAATGACCCATGTTAATTCCCTCATGTGTCTAAAACACGAGATTGTACAAAACATGTCATAATATAAATGGAGATAATTTTTTTTTAAGTGTCTCTCCACTTGTATCATAATATAAGTGAAGACAAGTTTTTCTTTTCAAGTGTCCCACCACTTGTATGACATGCAGTGTATCGACCCGTGTTTTGAATACACTGAAAAATTTCTCCTATTTCCACATCACTTCCTCCCTAAACTTCCTCTCTATACTATACACAAACTACCTCCTCTATACTGTACACAGACTACTTCCTCTTTCCATAAACAAGACCATGAATTAGTTGAAAAAATACTGTCTAATTGATATATTTAGCACATACAATAGGCTAAATTGTAGTAAAGGTCCCTAAACTATACAACGAGTTTAGTTTTGGTCACTGATCTCTAATAATAAGTTTCCTCCTCGCTCTATTAAGAGTTCAAGGACTAAAACTAAACTCGTAGTATAGTTTAGGGACCTTTGTGTTGTAGTCTACTCATCAAAATACCAAGGTCAAGTAGGTTTAGGTTTACAATAGGTGTTGGGAAAGGAGAAAAGGAATGTGCACAGTGTTGAGGCCCAAAAAATGTTGCATACAAACCCAACCAAGTCTCGAGGCTCAATTGTCATGCGAGCCCTAAGTCAACCTCAATACATGCAAAGGTGAGGGATCAAAAAGGGAAGATATTCACAATCATGCCACACTATGGTAATTAAGCCAGATATTTATATAAATCACGCCATACCCATGCATATTCATCACGCCAAGCTTTAGCTTGCTAATCGCTATTCACACTAAAATAAGCCCAAGTCACATGCTCGGGGCTTGTCAAGTGAATTGTGGTGTGGATGGTTATGGGAGTTTATCAGGCCTATGTGGAGTCAAAATTATGGAAGACTTAGGGCTACTTTGGGCCCAAAGATCCAAGCCCATATTTTGAGATCCACGTAGGTAAATTTATACTCTTATGAAAAGAAATTTGTAAAAATTGGAAAGTAAATAAACACACATCGTGTTTTGAACCCAAGACCTTTCATTAATTTCAAACAACAAAAACCACTAGTTCTAGTTAAACTTCTTGATCAAATAAACCAAATTTTATAAATTTATACTCTTATGAAAACATACATATATATAGCACCCTAATAATTTTGGTGCCCCCAATTTTTTTGGGCACTAGACAATCGCACATCATGTACTAGGCTAGGTCCAGCCCTACTATTACTATATAAATTGGTGATAGAAGATGAAAAGGTCATGTGTTGAAGACCTAGAGCGAATTTGAGCCGATTGCTCAAGACAGAAGGTCGAAGACCTAAAAATCATGGTCGAATACCACTATAACTGTGATCGAAGACCAAAATTAGGGTTCAAGACCGTATTACAATGGCTGAAGGCTAAACTCATGATGATATCTCAAGTGGAATGAATTTTTGCAAAGAAACATTTTTCTTTTACAAAACCTAAATGATATGTGCTTGTAGAGAAAAAGTGCGGCACTGTGGGAGCCAAAAATTACTCCTCTGCTAAACAAGTCGCTAGCACGCCAAACATGAGAAGTGGAGCTACAATCAAGCAACATAATAACTAATCCATGGAACATGGTGAAATATAAGGAGATTGGAACTTGGAGCCCAATACTTAAATGCCTATAAAACCTAATAATTCCACCAGAGGAAAAGGGAAAAGAGAGAAGTAGGAGATCGTTATATATTTTATATGCATCTTGAACTAATGCTGACTTAAGCGTCAGAGTGTTTTCTTGCAGCTTCCCTCACTTTCATTGATGACAAGCAAAGATGGTGTCGTGAACCTCTCAAAATGTTACAAGATTTACTTGTTGGAAGATTGGACGATCCAAATTTTCCCACTCTTATAGAAATCTTGCTTCCTTTGTGTTGAATTCGACCACTGGAAACAAAATTGCAAAATATGGAAAGAGAAGAAAGCAAGGCAATGACAGAGAAATCAAATACAGCCAGTGTGGTTACTTGAGAGGAAAGTGATGGCGAACTCCTTGAAGTAACATTGAGCCTAACGGTATCAAATTTTGAGTTTTGGATAAGGTTTGTTCGTTCCACATGTGTTCTTTCAAAGAATGGTTTGATACATATAAGGAAAGAAACAGCGGAAATGTGTTTATGGGTGATGATTCACCGTGTATAGTCCAAGGCATTGTTCAATTAAGACTACATATTATGACAAATTCGTTAGGATACTGAAACCTTAATACCTTTGCGCACTTTAGACAAAGTCGGTTACAAGTATAATGGTGAAGATGGATTACTCAATGCTACCAAAGAATCACTTACTGGGATGAAAGGGGATATGCAACCCATCATTTTTTACAAACTTCATGGGATTACTACAATTTTGAAGTTGGTTCAAAGGACAAGATTGTGCTTTGGCACCATAGGCTAGTGCACATGAGTCAAAGAGGATTGTAAGAACTACACAAGAAAAAATCCTATAAGGTGGTAGTTGTTGCAATTTGGATTTCTGCAAGCATTGTACTCTTGGGAAGCATACAAAGATGTCATTCAAGGTAGCGAACAGTGAGAAATGAAGTAAGAAATTGATGTACTATATTCATATAGATGTATGCGGTCTAGCGCAACAAGGTCCGAAATCTGAGATTTGCAATAAGTTTTGTTTGTACCATAATTGACCAATCCCGAAACTACTAAGGACCGGTCAACGGTATACTGTCAAGGACCCAGAAGAGTTTCCCTCCAACCAGGAGGCCAATCACAGCGCGACACGTGTCGACATCAGAAGCCAATCATAGCGCGACACGTGTCAACATCAGAAGCCAATCACAATACGACATGTGTCAATGTCAGAATGAAACTAGAAACTCTCTTATATAAATAGAGATCATTCTCTCACAATATTTCCGAATGTCATTTGTACTAAATCATTCACTAGTACTCACTAAAGGAGGGCTTGAACCTATGTACTTGTGTAAACTCTTCACAATTAATAAGAACTCCTCTACTCCGTGGACGTAGCCAATCTGGATGAACCACGTACATCTTGTGTTTGCTTCCTTGTCCCTATCCTTTTACATACTTATCCACACTAGCGATCAGAGCAATCTAGTGAAGGTCACAAACTTAACACTTTCTGTTGTACCAAAGTCCCCACTGATTTTGTGCATCAACAAGTTTAAGGAGTGGAAAGCAAAAGTAGAAAATAAGATGGGTAGGGAAATTAGATATCTAAGAAGCAGCAACGGGGGTAAATATAGAGACAATAAGTTCTTACAGTTTTGTAAAAAAGAAGGCATCACAAGAGACTTTACAGTGAAGAAAACTCCTCAACAAAACGGAGCTGCAAAAAGGATCATAAAACTCTATGGAAAGAGAGAGAAGCATGTGGTTTCATGCGAGATTGCCTGAATTGTTTTGGGCAAAAGCGGTTAACCATGCTTGCTACTTGGTTAGTCGATTGCCCTTATGAGCAATGGCGGATCCTGGATTTTAAATTCGGGGGGTCCTAATAATAAAAGTCAAAAAATTTATAGACAAAAATAACATTGAAAAGTTAAATATAATACATTTCATTCAAAAATCATGTGCAAAACAACATTGCAAGCTATAAAATCCTACTTCAAGCGTCCACGATGAGGTTTCATAGTCTGAAAATGTTCCATGATAGCTTCATTACCAATACATGAAAAAACATCTTTCTCAATGTAAACAACTAAGCTGTCACTCAACCATTGATCTCCCATTTTGTTGCGAAGTGGACCCTTAATGATATTCATAGCAGAAAATGCCTTATCCACTGAAGCGGATGCAACCGGTAAAACCAAAGCCAGTTGAACAAGCAAATATACATATGCAAATGTTCGATGCAACCCTTTCTCCACCATTTTCTTAGCAAGCTCATTAATCCCCCGCAATTGAGAAAAATCATTATCAGAACGCACAAAATGAATGTAAATATCAAGTTGATCTTGAAGTGCCAATCTATCTCGATCCATGAAATCTTTAGGATACATCTGAGCAAGGCGAACAAGCTTCTCTCTATCAAAAGCTACAAATGAATCATTCGGACTCAAACATGCCAAGAAAATAAGCAATTCAGTATTACCTTCAGTGAAGCGATCATCTAATTCTGTTAGTTGGAAATCAATGATCTCAAAAAAGAGCTCCACTTTGTAATGATGACGATTGGTCTTTCTTGGAGCCTTACGCAATGACTTCCCTTGAATGACATATAAATCATCCATATTAAGCACCTCAATTTCATCTTCAACACAAAAGGATGATACTTTATCAACCAAAAGATCAAATTTTTCATCATTCCTCATGCAACGTAGTTGTTCTTTACATGTCTTGACTAAAGCCATTGCATTCACAATCTCTTGATTTTTTTTTTTGTAATGCTTGTGACAAATCATTTGTAACTCCTAATATAGATTTCATCAAAAAGAGGAGGAACACAAACTCAAAAAATTGTAAATCTTTTAATAACCTTTTTGTTTCACCAGCACTATTATTGTGGCAATCTTCAACAATCATGTCAAGCACATCCACCACAAATGAGAACATTGTAATCAAACTAATCAAAGCACCATAATGTGAATTCCACCGTGTATCCCCAGCACACTTGAGACTAGTTTCTTGATTTAACCCTTGCCCCGTTTCAAGACAATCATTTTCAATAGCTTTCATGAGATTTTCTTGTTGTTTATCTCTAAGTGCATCACGACGCTTACATGAGTATTCAACAACATTCACCAAACTATTAGTCAAAGTGAAAAAAGCGCCAACATCGGAGTTTTTCTTTGCTACGGCAACAAGAGCTAATTGTAGTTGATGAGCAAAACAATGAACATAGAATGCACAATTTTATTCATCCAAAATTTTTTTTAAGGCCATTGAACTCATCTCTCATATTACTCGCTCCATCATAACCTTGACCTCGTAGGTTTGAGTAACTCAAATCATGTAGTTTCAAGAACTCATCAATGGACTCCTTTAGTTTACTTGAAGTTGTTTCAGTAACATGTTGGACTCCCACGAACCTTTCAATTACTTGACCTTTGTTGTCCACATAACGCAAAATCACCGCCATTTGCTCCTTTGTTGAAATATCACGTGATTCATCTACCATTATAGAAAAGAATTTACTTTCTTTCACTTCTTTCATAATAGCCTTAATAGTTTCGAAGGCACATGAATTGACAATATCTTTTGAATTGAATGAGCTATTAGCTTGAGATTTCCCGGAGTATTTTCCAACATAACTTCCTTTATTTTCTCATCATGATCCGCAAGGAATTGCAAGAGCTCTAAATAATTCCCCCTATTATTCGAAGTGTCAATTTCATCGTGGCCACGAAAAGGAAGGCCTTGTCGCAACAAGAACTTAGTGCAATCTATTGATGCATTCAAGCAAAGACGATATTTCATACACTCTTCTTCTAACTGTTTGATCACAACTTATTCAATATGTGTCTTTTGGTTCATTAAATAACTAGCCGCTTCTCTAGCTTTATTGTGGAAACTACCAATAGGACCAACATGCTTGTCAAAACATTCTCTTGCATTCTTCCATTTCTTAAAGCCTACCCCAGTGAAGGCATCGCTTCCTAATTGTGAAAAGTTGATTTTAAAGAGATAGCAATGAAGACAAAATGCCGCATCTTTAGATATACTATACTCGAACCAATCATATTCTTCAAACCACGAAACAACAAATCGTCGCTTTTTCTTTGCATGCAAAGTGTATGGGAACTCATACTTTGTAGGCCTACAAGGTCCCATTTGCAAATATGCTCTTCGGACCTCATCTTGAATATTAGAAGGATAGTCCTTCATTCGAATTCTTTTTCCCGAGTCTCTCTCAAGATTATTAGAATCAATGTCACACTCATTTTGTCTTGAGCTCGAACTACCCGAACAAGTAGATGGTGCTATTGGCTTGGGCTTGAAAAATCTTTCCATATTTCTTATTTCTAAACTACACATTTAACCAAAAACACAAAACATATACCAATCAACCAATAAACAAAAATTCCATCTAAATTTCAATGATAAAATAAGTATACAAACAAAAAACATATCAACAATCATATCAATAATAGACTAAAAATCTCTACCAATATCTAATATAATTTAATTGAGATTAGATTAATACCAAAAAACTTACTTGAATTTTGAACCAAATAGTGGTGGCTTGGAGAATTGAAACAAGTGGAGGTATAATATTGGAGTAATGTAATTATAATATGGGATTGGGTGGGATTAGAAATTTAGGGTTTTGGTTTTGGGTGAATATAAGAAAGATGGGGATTAGGGGGAATGGAAAAGCAAGAACCAGGGGGTGGGGAAGGAAAAGTGACTCAGGGATGGCCCATCATGTGGGGCTAGGCGTTAAAAGGACTCGGGAATCATGGACAAACGGTTGGGTTTTTTTTAAAAAAAAAAAATTAAACAAATTGGCCAAAACACTGTGTTTTGGACCAATTTTTTAAAAGGCCCTTAGGCCCTGTTCTTTCTTCTTCCCCCTGTCTTCTTTTCTTCCCCCCCCCCCCCCGTCTTTTTCTCCGTTGCAAGCTGCAAGCTGCAGCACATGACAGCACAGATCCTGCTTCGAGGGGTCCCCCAGAAAATTTCTAGTAGCATTTTAGGATTGTCGGAGGGTCCTGGGACCTCCCAGGTCCCTCTGTAGATCCACCACTGCTTACGGGTTCTTTGTTTTAAGTGTGCATACGAGGTATGGTCTAGTAAACCTGTTGATTATTCCAAATTATAATTTTTTGGTTATAGTGCATAAGTTCATATTATGAGCGATGAGATGACCAAATTCAAACCAAAATCACTTGAATGCATATTCATTGGTTTGAGAAATGATTGAAGAGCTACAAGTTATGGGGTCTTACTTACTAGACATCGACACATGACATGGAAATCCCTACACATGTGGCCGATTATCTCCTAATAAATACCTCATTCTACACCAAATTCTAGTAAGCTTTGGCTACAGAATTATGCCAAAAAACTCTTTTCTTTTCTTTTTTCAAAGCATCTGACTTAGGCATCAGATATCCACTCCTAAACCCCTCCCACTCCTTGGTCACTTGGTTTTAGTCTTTGATCAAATGTGTGTAATTGTTTTATAGATACAAATTTGTCAAGACTAAAGACCATGGATATTTGCTACCAAAAACTGGTGTTTTTTGTCGAGAGTTTGATTCAAATCTTGAAGAAGCTCTCACAATGTCTTTTAGAATTTCCCCTTTGAATTTTAATAATGCTTCAAATCTTTGAATTTTTAGTTTCTTGATTTGTGTGCCATAAAGAAAGGAAAAATGGCTGAAAATTTCGAGACGACGACGAACTACCGTCCTACATGCTTGGGTTCTCACCCACGCGGAGGACCATGGAGGGATGATGGTTGCCATCACCGCTGCTACTACACCAAAGAAGTCGTTGCCCACAACACTATAGCCCAGAACTCAGCGGCACATGCCCTAAGTTTGTTGGCCCACAGAGCTACCCTAGCAGTTGTTTCTGGAGCCATGCTAGCCTAGGTACAAGGTGCAAGTCCATATTGCAACAACAGTCCAGCAGCCCAAACGACATTCCTCATAGCCGACTCCCAAGACGGCCCAATGTGTGAGCTTAGCACGCTTTATTAGCCTAGAATCTCCTAAGCTTCCCACGCACGAGCCTAGTGCACCCTAGCACCTAGCCATGCAGGCTCATTCAAACCATCCATTTCGCCCGAGCCCAATGCCCAACAACCAAGCTCTCGCAAATCGACCTGCTCCACCAACCCGGATCAACACCCAGCATCTGACCTAGAACCAATCTAGCCGAACTGGTCCTAAAACTGGTTCAGCCAAACCACCAAAATATCTCCATACTATATTTGATTCAAGTCGAATAAGTCGGTCTACTAAAAAAACCATAAATCAAATCAGCAATGATTCCGACCCCTAATATGTGGGAACCTAGGCTTATTTTGCCAGAAGAAGCACAAAAGTACAGTACGTTCCTTGAATTATTGTCATCAAAAGTCCATACAGCTACACACGTTTACTGCGGTAAATTATCTATTTTTTTGTCTACGCGGAACTTTATCATGTTTTGCTGCTAGCTACATAACCTATATGATCCATGACCCTAAAAGTGCAACACATCCTTTGGACTGCTGCTCATTAATTTTCACACAATTGCATAGTCTATTGTGACCAGTTAGAGATTTTCATGAACACACTGGTCCTATAATGTTGTGCTACTAGCTATACAGCCTATGAAATTTGTGACATATAATGCAGTGCATTCCTTAAGAAGTTGCCCACAAGTTTCCTTACAACTGCACATTTTTTATGTGACTAGTCAACGATTTTTGGGTTCCATAGATCTTTATCATGTTGTGTTAGAGGCTACGCAACTCAAAAGATCGATGACCCCCAAATTACAAGAACAGTTGAGCTTTCCAACGACTTATAAGAAACTTCGTCATGTCACATGCCTCTGCCATATGAAACACGTATCGGCCTTGTGAAGTACAAGTTCTCATAAGCTCAAAGTAACATCACCAGTTGCACAAACATGTTCTGAAATGTATATACATATCTTTATCATGTTGTGTTACGGGTTACGAAGCTTAAAGGATCGGTGACCTCTTATTACAAATGTAGTACACTTTCTGGTAGCTTTTAACAAACTTTGTCGTGTCACACACTTCGCTTATGAAGTACAAGATCTCATGAGCTCAAAGTACACTGCTCATAAACCTTTCCTTAGTCGCATAAACAGATTCACATATCATGCGGCTTTTGTTCAAGCAATACAGTCAATGACCAACTTAGCAGTGCCAGCATCACACGGTTATAGGCAATGACACATAATGAATTTTGCAGCTTAACACCCTAGAAAGCTAAAACTCATAACATTGACACACCTGTTAAGAGTGCCTAATTTTATCAAAGTCGCACAAGTAGTTCGCACTTTTATGGCTAAAGTTTTGCAAGACACTCAAGCAAGCAAAGTTTCAAGCACATTCAAGTCAACTGAATAACGAAGATGGAGTAAACCGAATAAAGCAGTTTATTAAACTTCTAGCAATTGATAAATTGGCACAAAAGCTACCAATCTAACACAAGTTAAATAAAAACAAACACTAATTAAAAGCTTGGATGATCTCTGACTCTTCAGCAGCCACTTGCACATAACAACCTCTTCACACTCAGTAGCTCGCACTTGCATCGTTTCATCTTTAGCAGATCCAATCTCGTCAGTTTTACCCTTAACAACTCCATCTATAGCAGGTGAGAAATCAAAATCGAGCAGTTTCCTCCTTCTTGGCTGACAACATAAATGCGACAGCAATAGAATAAGCAAGCTTTGATGTCTCTTGAGCAGTTGAATCCACTTTCCCAAGTGACAAAATTTCCTTCCCACTTTTCATAGTGGCGAACCTTTCAGAAGTCAATTTAGATTTAGCCACAAATAAATGTATCATTTTTTCTTTGAACCTGGGCTCTAGGGGCAACACAGAGCTCTTGGGTGAATGATCTTATCAGCCAAGACTTTAGCTTTTTTCGGAGTGACAGAAATCACAGGTTCAGTAGTTTTCTTTTTATCCTTTAAGGGGAGATAACTCGATAACAAGCTTCCTAGAAGTAGGAGAACTCCCATAAGCAATGGAGGAAATTCAGAATTTCTTCTCAATTGAGGTTCAAGAAGCAGGCCAACCTACCAACTAGGCCCTACGACTTTCTCAAGGCTCTAGCTTGTGTTTCTCCTGCGATTCCTAGTTGTGCTAGCCATCTGCTCTTAAACTCCTAGCCGCACCAACTTCCATTATGCAGTTCCCAACCATGCTAACTTTCACTCTGCGGCTTCCAGCAGCACTGACTCCTTCTTTGAGGCCCATTTGAACCAATTCAGCTAAACGACTTCTAGCTGCGTTAACTCCAACTCTGCAACTTCCATCAGCAACCCAATGCCCCATGCGCTCAGCTTAAGCAACTCCAGTAGTAACCCATTTAGCAAGCCCAACTTGTGATGACGCCAACAAATCCTCCAAATAGGCCCCGCGACCCACTTACATACGCATCCCATCAACGCCTCAACCCTGCAGCGCGCTAAACCTAATCC